GAAAGGATTAGCATGAACTATTGAAACGACAGTGGTGGCTATTTCTCGAATGATATAATGACACAAGTGTACCAGATAACTTTATAGCATAAACGGATTCAACGAACGCGAATATTATTTATCATCTCTGAAGGTAAAAGGGAGGTTTCGGGGTTAAGGAACGCGGGTAAACGACGTGTCGTGGCATGGCGTGGCGTGGCGTGCCCGTTTCGTTCCGTTCCGTTCGTGCATTTAAATGCGAAACTAACAACTCGTTCGTTAGCTGAAAAGTCCGGTAACGCGTCGTGAGAACGATTTCGATCCGTCGCGGGCGGAGCATTGAATTGCAGATCGGCCGCGAATGCAAATATCGTCCCCCTCCGTCATATGCCACAGCTAAACATTCGGCAGGAAAGCGTTACCAGAATCTTTTTCACTTTCCCTTTTCGATTTCTCAACACTTTTCTCCATTATTATTCAATGGAAGACTACCCCTGATCCTGTTTTTTTTTTAACTTCATTGCATTTATTGTACGTAATGTTTATTCGATGATAAATTATTTTTTGCATAATTTGCGTCCTTTAGAGCCGATCTTACATATTTTTGCTTATCATATTTGCATGACGATTTTCCTTTACTCGGTACGTTTTCATCGTATAAAAGCAGGGTCAGCTGTATCTTACATAATCCTATTAATACTCCTCCATTATTAATTCAAGTTAGGATAATATGGGTTCACTTGAAAGAGGAAGTAATTGATAAAGTAGAAATCTTGTACAGATTTAGACTCCATGAATATCCGTCTAATTCTGACATTCTAATTTCATATTATTCACCATAATACAAGATATAATTATATCATATAATATAATTTTATAATTTCAAGATAAGTTTTTGCAACACTGTTTATTTGTGAAAACCGAAATTACTTTCTTGCCAACCGAATATTTAATATCAAATGTTCAAATTCGAATGCTTCGTCATTATTTTCACATAATCTTAATTGAAACCGGATTAAAACTGATCCATCTAAGATTGCGCTTAATTGTAACGGCGTTGTTTTGATCACGATGGCCCAAATATAATAACGTATTACTTCATGAAGAGCGACGGACTTAATCCAAAGCGGTTTAAAGTAGATTTTAGCGTCAACCGCGGAGCAGAAGCGGCAGCTAATTGGGTGCACGCTCGGGCCACGGAACGCGGCCCTAATCGCCCGTTTCCGACATTTTCAGAGAGCGTATATCTAATGCACATACGTAGTTCGTTTAACTTAAGCCGGAGAGAACCTGTCAAAGAGAAAAGTTCGCGTCAACGCTATGTAAACCTGTCGGTCGTAAAACTTCATCCTCTCGCGCATACTCGATGATTAGCAATCTTATCTTTGATATCAGGATTACGTTGGATAAAAAAGAATATTTTTCATGGAAAGGAAGGATTCATCGCATGTTCGTTTCGAGCACGAGCAGATTCTAATTTAATCGGTCGTTGGAATTCTGTGCTAATTTTTATCGAAATTTAAGAGGATTGTAAATAGAGAGAGAGGCTACGATTTTTTTATAAAAGGGGAAAGGAGGTTTACGCAGAGAAAGAAGAAGAATTTACAACACGAAGCCTTGGAACATGACTTTATTGTGGTTCACGTGTTTTCCTTGGCTGCGGCATAGTGTTTCCATCGTTAGGTGTGCTCGAAACGAGGACGGCTATGCCGTGACGCATTATGCGTGTACGTACGAGCGCGATAGACGTTCGCATGATTAGAAATTATAGTTCAGAATTTCAGGGAATCGATGACCCCGTATCCACAAACCGTTGGTCCATTTTTGATGGCGTTAGAATTAATTCTCACGTACACGTCGTCGTACATAACTTTGAAAATATACTTCATGAATTTAGTTTTTTAATTCTGCATGCAATTACTTTTTTAAATGTAATAATGCAAATATCAACCTTTTTAAATATATTAATGCAAATAACCAATCGTGTGCATTTACGAAACACGTATGTTGCCATCATTATTTAAATAAAATTGGCATAAATCTTACAA